GCAATTGAATAAACGGTAGTCATAGTGTGGGCAGCTGGCAACATGGGTATGGCGCTCGCATCCACGACTCTCAAGCCTTGCACGCCGTACACATGAAGATGCTGATCTACGACACCTCCTTGATCTCTGGGACCCATTTTGCATGTGCCTGCAGGGTGGAATAGCGTTGATGCAGCGCCGCGGATCCAAGAGTCAATATCCTTGTCTTCTGAGACGCTTGGACCGGGAATAATTTCAGTTGGGTTGAGCGACGCGATTGCTGATGTAGCGTAGAGCTTCCGGGCAAAACGGAGGCCTTCACGTAGGAGAGTGATATCCACTTCATTTCGCAGGAAGCCCACATCGGCGATAGGAGCGTCGAAGATGCTGGAAGAAGCCGCCTTGACATGCCCACGCGAGTACGGATGCTGTAGCCCAACTACCGCAGGACCGTCTGCCCAGATGATCTCTAGGAAGGCTGCATCTGTAGCCTCGAGCTTCTTGTTAAGAGCTGCAAACTGTGCTTCGTAACCGCGCGCGACTTCGGCGGGAACATCCTTTGGAAGCGAGGCAGATGGTCCAGCTGCAATAGCTTGGGATAGGATGGCTTTTGTGGCGTTGGAGTAAGTTGAGAGAGGAAGGAAGAGAAGAAAGTCTCCAGTTGGGCTAGTCAAAGGACCAGATCTTGAGTCGTCGTACTGCTTCCGAGCTTCAGCAGCGAACGTAGCGTTCGATTGCAGAGCACCGGCAGTAGGAATCGTCGTGTTTACTTTATACTCATCAGCATTAGGTCTGTCAAGGAAAGAAATGCTTTGCTCACATTGGTTGAGCACGAAAAGGGACACGTGGTCGTGGAGGTTATGTCCAACCGCGGGGAGGTCCACAACAGTTGATACATTGATAGAAGCAAGGTGAGAAGGGTCGCCAATACCGGACAATTGCAACAACTGAGGTGTGTGCAGTGTCCCAGCGGCAAGGATAGCCTCTTTGTTAACTTTTGTTTGTTGGCTTGCCGCACCAGCGGAAGCGGCAAACTTGACACCGGTTACTTTGGGCACACCATTTACCTTTTTTGTGAGTATTTGCGTCACCTGGTGGCTGGGTAGGAGGTGGAAATTGGAGCGCTTCTGTGCAGATGCATAGTAGGCTTCTTCTGCGGAAGAACGCGTCGCGGTCTTGGAGTCCAGGTTGTGCGGGCAGAAGTAACCACCAAATGCCTTTCCTGTAGCTTGGTCATTGATCGGAATGCCAAGTGCTTTCGCAGCGTTGACGAAGTTTTCTTGGTACGTGTTAATAGAAGTCAGGCAATCCATTTTCATTTGCAGAACTTACTGGTGGTGGGCCAGAAAAAGGGAGAGAAAGTCGATTGGATGTAACCCTTGGTGCCGTAGTTGTTGGAGTTATACTTGATGTTGTACTCTGCCTGGATTGCGGCCGTTGGTGGTGTAAACGTCTCTGACTGACAACCAGTTAGAGTCATCAATGAGGCTGCAAGCAAAACAATATGTACCTTGATGAAACCAGACAGGATGCTTTGGAAGTTCCATCCTTTGTTTCCCAAGGCCTCCCATGTATCGTAATCAGATTGCGAACCACGATCGAAGACCATGCGGTTAAGCTTAGTCGATCCGCCAACGACTTTGCCTAGAGGAATAGGAACAGAGCGATTATTGACCTGGGGATTTGCGCTGTACGTGAGGTTCCAATCATATTTGGTTCCGACGGCGCCACCAGCAAGGCCTGGAATCGTCACGAAAGGCTCGTCTTGGTCGCTAGCGGTTGGGTTAGCGTGTCGCTGGCGATACGGGTTTGATACAACCTACAATTGGCCGGCCTCGATAATCAACACCTTTACATCTATTGCAGAGCAGCGTTAATCATCTACTATCAAAAATATCTCGTATTTGTTAGGAGAGTGACATACTCTGATCTTCGGATAGTCGATTGGCAACGGTAAGGCCCGACGCACCGGCGCCTACAACAACATAATCATATTCGGGAAGAAGATCCTCTGCCCTGGAAATGAGCTTGCCGTTGAAAAGTGGATGTGCGAGAACACCAGTCGCAGAAAGTGCGACCGTCAGTCCGATGCTGAGCGGCGAAGGCATGATGAGAACGTGCGCAAAAAGAGCGAATTGACAGTTGAATGACAACGTTCGTACGCACCTAGAACCCCATTATGTACACTGAAGAGAATGCTAAGAACATGACGACTACATGGCTGTGCGGTTCACCTACAATTGCCGATGTTTTACTCAGTTGGCCGGTACCTGCGCGCAACCTGGCTAGTTTCGCATAAATATTGTCGGAGCCATTCCAGCGAACATCATGCGCGTGTGAAGGCGGCGCATGTGGACCCCTTTTCCTCACCAACAGGCTACTTTCCCGCTGCATAAAGCAAGGATGTTTACCACAATGGGAAATTTCAGTAACACAGAATGATCCAACGATTACCCGCGCCCCTCGCTAATGGCGATTCCTTCTTGTCCACACCCCGCAATGAGGTCTTCTCCATGTTTTTCCCCTTTCCCAGCACGCCATGGCGGCTAAACAAAGCATGGACCTCGAGCATGCCTCATTAATGAACCCCCATGTAGTCCTCACTTATATCAGCCTTCGTTTAACCCGACGAGAACAAGCGACAAATGACGCAAAAGGTTCAACAGCAGACTAGTGATGGATGGAAGCCACAGATCAAGCACAGACCGCTTCGCGTGCAGACAATGCGGCAATACACAGCCCAGAGGATACGTACATGGGGAGTGGCAACATTAGCTTAAAAGCCGGGAAGACCCGCGATGAAGTCCAAGACACCAGTATTGATAATGCTTACCAAGGTGATTACGACAGTTGAAGGACACTCGACATAGTCCCCATTAGGTATTCATACTACGTATGAGGTCGCTATCATGTCCGAGCTCTCGACTACAAATCTTCTTACATATAACGCAATAACACTAAGTAAATACCGGAACACACAAGATGGCTAACAACTAAGCATTAAGCAACATATCTAGCCGACCTTTGAGTGTCGATTACACAACTTACTCATAAGTAGGTGGAACGAGCTTTGTTTATGGGATGGGTGTGGGATGACGAGGTACAAGGGGAAGAGTCAAACTGCCTGCGTGCAGACACGTATCCTGGTCATGGGTGCTTGGTCGTGTATCGCCAAGTTTACTGTCTCCATTGTTTATTTTCTCCCGACACGCTGCCGAATAAGAAGAAGTGCCGACATTGGGCCATATACTGCTCGATAGCAGAACACCGTTATCTGGGGTTGATTGAAGACACAAGACCGAGACGCTGAGGGATTATTGTGGTTACCGTGCAAACGTAAGCTTTGCAAATTCACCCGTGGCGGCCATGTTACTCCTTTTCGACAAATCATCGAAAGCATCTTTTAAGCGAGATGTTCGGCATCCTCCAAAAAAATTCCTGCGGATACCCGTTTATGCTATAGTATTTTCGCTGGATGTTCATATTGATGTAAGCACTACGACGCGAAAGGAATGCGTCATCTCTGAAGCGCACGAAAAAAGGCTAATGGCCGAAATGGCGCTAGCACATGTCCGAAAGATGTGGGGAAATTTAAGTATCGACCCTCGTGGCCGATAGCCCGAGCATGCGGAGGGCGCAGGGCGTTTAGATGCGCGCGACTTGTTCTAGTTCCCGTTGCCGTTTACGAGATCCTGGAGATAACGCCACCACGCTCGACTTATGACGCACTGAGTACGCGAGTCGAATGTCAGCTGTTCATAGTGTCCCCTTACGTGTTAGCGATTATGGTATTCAAGATAATGAGTCTGCCAGGAAAGCCATCAATCGTCCGTTGATTTGTCCTTGAGAAACTTTGTTCGTTTCTCACTCGTGAACTGTGTCGACTGGATGCCGTTGGATAAGCAAGTGACGTTGATATCTTATGACCTGGTCGAACCTGCTCACCTCAAGTTGTGGCACCTTAAAAAGAGACTTTCGTGTTCTCAAACATGATCGTCTGTGGTTTCATCCCAGTTGCTGACCCGGGTACCTGCCGCCACAGTAAGAAACGTTGTCAGGCACATTGCAGAGATTCACGTAGATAGCGGGGCAAAGAGTAATCAGCTTCTTTTTGTGCACGATGCCCAAATCTTCATGCTTTGTCCCCTTCCAACTGTGGATGCATCGCCAGTCCTGGTCAGGCGCTCAGAGCTTCGATTCCCCACATCTTAATCGTCTACACATATTTTCTCCGAGTACCTTGTACGAAGAAAATCCAAGTGGGGCCTCATCCTCACTGCATTGGCTGATCACGCGTGTACATGTAGTATACATCCCTTCATGTAAGTATGTACTCCAGCATTGGTACTAGCCGCGCATCTGGTTGAAGCGATGACGCAAATGGCTTTACAACATTTCACCTGAAACAGGCACAACTCCGTTTCAACACTTGGCTAGCGAACGGCGTTATTTCGGACAGGACTGAGAAACATTAAGCACCCAGCCGTGTGGCTATGTCAATCAACTACTGCGCGCAATATTTAGGTTTGATTGCTAGTGCCTTCTCAACTGCCGAATCGTTTCCCTTGCTGCATGTCATCATGCTCGTGTTCGAACGCGGTCTGGAAGTTTCTCTAACCGAACCGTGGTTTTGTCAGTCGATCTAATACACGAATCAACGAGTACTACGTAGATATCCCACAAAGGTGAATATGACAAGGAGCGAGTCTTTGGTTTAGAGTTCGCGGTCACCAGAAAGCCCAACGGAACCCAGCATGGTGGGGTCGGTGCGCAGCCTGCCAAAGATGATTTCAACAGGCCTGTCTTATCTGTACTTTCCCAAGTACCTGGTCGTTGTGTATCACGTCCGGTGCGGTGGGTTGTTAATCAAGAACAAATATTGAAGAGCTCAAGATGTTTTGCAGTTTCAGCTTGATACTACAGCACTAATCATTTTGTTGACTCGCCTCTACACACATCAGTACATGACGTGGTACCCAACTCACGATCAGAAAACGCTTTCCATTCCAATGCGCCCTATATCAAGGCTTCCACCCTCCGGTTCGCGACCGGAACAAACCTTTTGGATCGACAGCATCCGCAACCCTCTTCGCCAGCGCACGACTCTGCGGCCTCAACCTGCCAAAGTAATCTTGGCGATAGAATCCATAGTTCATAAAAACAGGTAAATAAGCGTCTGGCAACTTTCCATCTGCTTGCCATGCCAACACTCTATTGCGAATGCCCGTGTACGTGGCTTCCATAGTGTCAGCCATGCTGTCATACAGCGTTTTGGGCGTAAAGGCGTAATTCATTTCGATAATGATACGGTCAACGCTTGCGTCGGCATCGATCAGGTCAGGACTAAGCTCTCGAGCCTTTTGCGCGATGCGTTTAGGGAAAGGCTGCCATGCGATGGATGCGACTATGCCTGGCACAAGGAGCGTTGTTCCAGAGATGTTGCGCCAATGGTTATGAAGACCCTCCATAATCTCGACTGCATTGGCGCGAGAAGGAATGGATATGGTTTCAGTGGCGATATCAACAACACTACCCTTGAGTACAACCCAATTACTAAATGCCATCAAGTCGGCATATGTTCGCGTACGTGTTGTGTCAAGAAGAGGGTTGACATCGGTGAAGTTTTTGAAAAGTCCCGGTGGTGGTGTTGCGCCGTCGTAGAATAAGAATAGAATCCATGAGTCGATGATGTTGACATTAGTGCGTTCAGCAGTGACAATGACAGCTGCCTTGTCGTCCTCATTGTACTCGGTCCAATCACGTACAGCTTGAAGTAGCTCTGCATCCTTCTTCGGTGTACGTAAGTAAACAAGATTGCCACCCCATACGTTGCCCTGGCGGCGGGCTTGTAACTTGTAGTTTGTTACGACACCAAAGTTGTTGCCACCTCCTTTGAGTGCGATGAACAGATCGGGGTTGTTGTCTTTCCGGATGTAACCAATCGTGCCGTTTGCAAAAACGATTTCGTATTCTAGAACACTTGAAGCCGCCCATCCATATTGTGTCGACATGTAGCTAAGTCCCCCGCCAAGGACCAAACCACCAACTCCAGTGTTGCCAATTCGTCCGCCAACAAACGTCCACCCAGAGCCTTGTAACTTGGCAGAAATACTGTCTAGCCGATTGCCCGGACCTACGTCGACAATACCAGTGCTGCTATCCAAAACGGCCTGATCAAAACGATCCATGGAGATCAGGGGTCCCCCGGCAACACTGCTCCAGCCGTTGTTCGGGTTGTGCCCTCCAGACTTGATGGCGAAAGGCTCCGTAGTGTTAGCAAGCACCTTCATCACTGTCGAGACCTCTTCTACCGTCTTGGGGAAAATGATGCACGAAGGGAGAAGCGCCGAGCATGACGTCGACCAGTATTGCGTCTGCTCTTCAATGTAAGCTAAATCGAGAGAGTATTTGACATCGATGCCCCCAAGATCCGTAATGGTAGAGCAGGTATCGGCTCGAACAAAGAATGGCAGCAAAAAAGCACAAGAAACGTATACTATGTATAACAACATTTTGATACAGAAGTAGTGATCCTGTTCAGTAGGTCGTCACTGCTTCATGTCTCACGATGACCTTATAATGTTCTGAGTTGTCATGACTCAATGACATCGGCCAAACTTCGTCATGATGAACCATGCTGCAAGTGATCCTCGTACGTCAATGGCAACCCAGATAGCCCATGATGAACGTGAGGATCGTGAGACAAGCTGTGTAGGATTCAAGTGACTAACTTAGAAGATTCCGATCATCGTGGCTACCATGGGGTTTCTTCGTCATCGAGTTTTCGTGAACACACAGCTGCACCAGTTCATTGAATGTGGCTTGGACCTAGATTGAACAACTTGTATTATACAGTGGTGCCAATATTGTTGGGCAGTGGGAAACTATCCTCGTTTTGTCGCAATTCCAATCGTCACTCCTCCTATTGGCAGAACTTGAGTACCGTCATATCGTGAGATTGGTCAGGTGCACTAATCTAGTTGTCTTTGCAGAATATCCAAGCCCGAGCGACAGCATTCAAAGCAGGTTTTCGTATTCGTAAGAGGTTGAGAAAGCCGGAGGTAGCAGTGGCTGAAAACCTGGAATCGATTGCTTGTAGACAGATCTGGAAGACTGGAAAGAAAAAAGAGCAAAAGCAGATGGCCAAGGATCGCATGAGATGTCTAGTCGTCTTGGTATTCTGCATTTGCAATGTTGCTCCACCGGCTTAATATGTGCTAGCTCGCTTGGCTGCAGACGCTCATAAGAAATGGGTATACCCGCTGCAGGTGTCTGCAGAAATACGAGGAGCTGAACACGGAGTCGCATGTTCCTCAGCCTGCAACAGTTAGCGTAGTATTTGCTCCCGGAAATCGGTGACTTATGTGAAAAAGAGTGGCCGTCTCGAAAGACAGCCAAATGAACCACCCACAATACCCCTCACTACGCACTTCTATTTCCACACCAATAGCTATGCTGAGTTTCGCCTTGAAAGGTGTATCGCTGTTCCACCCCATGCAGAAACCTGACAACATCGCGAAAGAGAGTGACAGGATGACCAGAAAGCAAAGTCGGTAGAACGAAGGGACCTGCAAGGCTGCTCCAGGCGACAGGGACGGACAGGTCTAGACCTTGAGCCTCACTCTTGAGAGGTCCCGTCTCTGAAGTCTGATATGAGAAGTGATGCAATGTGGCTTCCGGTGTCCTGCGGCTTTGCTATAACCAGTTGACATTCTCTTCGCTTAGTCGCCTTGAGATTAGTCTCATAACACACAATGGAATTCGATATACACCCCACAAAACAAAAAGCGCAAGAGCCATGGTGCTTCCAGGGAAGACGCCGTCACGTCTTCAAGGCTGCTGGGTTCGCTCCATTGCAGCAGGACCATCTTCCTCATGATTCAAAACTCGCCGATCAGAAGATCCTAATCGAATAACACAACGGCCATGAAACTGCCTTCTCTTGACTCAATCTTCGCTGGTTGTTATGCCAGGAAGCTTCTCTCTGTTTGTGATTGCATGACTCTCGGAGACTAGTCTTTGTTGCCACTACGCTTCCATTCGACTGGTGACGAAGGGCATTACAATACGGACAAAGGACATCCTCAAAAACCGTATTTCTGATCGTAACAGGCAAAAGCACTGTTCGACCAAACGGGCACACGCTCGTCGATGCCCACACACGCTAAACATGCATGTTGACGATTAACGCGACTGGTCAGATATCGCTGTTGAGCGACTAGTGTCTAATGACTTGCATCGTGACACAGGCTCCGTGATGTTGCACACAGTGTGAGAGGGTAGAGAAATGATCGGGATTTTCATCCCTGTAGGAGAGATGCACGAACATCTTCATCGCTAAGCACTACTAGCCTGCTCGATCCAAGTTATCGCACGGTGCAAGCGTTGCGAACCTGGCCCAACACTCGTCCATCCATAAAACAATCAGACATGAACTGCAAGGCATCAGATCCGGAGCGGGGCGGTTCGCCAATGGTGATAATATCTGCCTGAGACGTAGAGACCTCGCTGGGCTTTCGCCTTTCCGACGAGTGGATCTCAGCGCCGACCGAAGCCAGAACAGGTTGATACATCTGTGTGTCAGGCTCGACAAAAGTCAAACCGCGCTCTTCTTCTGCCTATTCGCTCCTTGCTTGATGCGTGATGGGGACGTTGTGATTGTCGGGACCTGGCGTGGCAACTTCGGTACGAGTCTTAGAAACGAGCAGCCCATGTGCTAGCGGAATTCAAGAGTCCAGCGTCAGTCCCCAGCCGGGGTGACGGACATCTCCCATCACTACTCTTTCTCTTGCCATTGCTGTTTCATCGTGAAGCTATCTGTTGTGACCAGAGTCTGTTGCACGGATGAGATACCGACGTGGTTCTCGAATGAGAACTTTAACACCCCGACAGGCACATGCCATCTCATTTTGAGCTGTTCGCCCCCGTACCTCGACTCTTCCTTTTGCGCCGAGCCTGACTAGTCCATAAGTGAGCTGTCTAGCAGGGGCTAATTGGAAGGTCGGCGACATGACCGCGATGCTCTTCGTCCAACACAAAGGCTGGAACGAATGCCAATAGATGGATAGGGTTAAGATCCGAGCCTACCTCCCTCACCCACAACCTCGATGCTAACAGCGAGGCGCGCAAGCCGACATGCAAGCAACCCACTGAGACCATGCCAAGAGGCTCGGGTGAGTGTCGATTGCGCAAGTAGGTGAGGCGCGGACGAACCGCATTCCAAATGGAAGACAGGCGTCGGGAACTATGGGGAAAGTGGCATGCGTGATACTTGCAAGTTGAGAGAAGGAATCGGATCAGAGAAGGGCGTTACGCGGCCGTCCCGCTATCATCGACATGGTCAGATCTGGTTGAAGAGCGTGTGTAAGAATCCAAGTCCGGTCGTGTTCCAATAGAGTGTAGCAGCCTTTTGATTGAAGACGGACGCCATGTAGTGATGGAGCAGTTGAGGTGTTGGTTGTTGGAATGGTACCCCGCTGGACAAAGGAGAACGACGCGTTGCTCAATGCCAAGAGGTCGCGTCAAAGTGGCGTTAGCACGTGACTACTACGTACTCTCTTCCCTTACTAATCATTGCCATCACCGTCCGAGACTGCTCACCAATCTTTGCATTGTAGTCACATACGCTGAAAATTGCTGTCCAAAGTGCAAAATAAAACCAGGTATCCCGTGGTCGCAAGAGAAATTTATCTGACAAGATTATCAAGAATTACACCCGGTGCGACAGCCACAAGATAGCTCGTCGCCAGTAAGTGGCACTGGCACTACAACCAGTCGACTCGAAGCGAAACCACTCACCATGGGAGCAATCGAGGACGCGGTAGATTCCGCTGCCAACTTCATCGGCCCATACGTTGAAAAAAGCCGCAAATACAGTGGCGATGTGCCCACCTCTTCGCTCATCCAGCAATCTCTTTCCCACCTACAAGACATCAATGCTGCCGATCTAGTCGCAGACCCAAACGCCCCTTATGACGCATCTCTTGCAGGAGTGGTATACGGTCTCCTGGATCTCATCATCCTTCTTGGTGTCATACCACGGTTATCGCCAGGAGTGGCTTTTAGCCAGCGCCCACGCTCGGTCCTGACTGCGATTGTAACCGCATCACCTGACCACGATATGGATGCTCTGGCCGTAGTAATCGAAGGCCTCCTCCCAATTTTAGAGCAAAAGGGCTCCGGTATACAACCACTGCTCTCCCAGAGGATCCTTCCGGACATCGTATCCGCACTTGCTGAACTGTCTTTCTCGCCCTTTTCGTCTGAAGACACCAAATCCAAGTTCTCGCCTATTTATAAAAAGATAATGATTGAGATTCCAACATCGCGGCTTCTCCCGATATTGACATCCTTTTTACAGCAACCTCTCCCTGAGTGGCTAAAACCCATCATTTCAATCGAGCTGTCCATGGTCCCACTTCGGCAACAAGGCGTCCGACATACCATTGAGTTCCTAGCGCTCTCGTACCTTTCCAAGAACTCTCACATTCCCGAGGGTGCGTCAGGCCCACAATCTCAGATTCCAATTCCACTAGAAGCTATCACGCAGGCATCAAAGCTGCTTATACTTCCACCCAGCGGTATTACACCAAATGATTGGATAGAAAGACTTGCACCTCAACTGCTCCACCTGTTGAACGGCTGCGAAGGAAAAGAACTGAGCCGAGCAGCAGGCCAGATCATTGCGGGTGGAATACTCAGCAAAAAGACGACCGGAGCACCAGGTACTATAGGATGGAAGATCTTCGTGGAGCCCATCTTCCATGCAATCTCTCCGAAAAATACACAAATTTCAGATTTCGAAGAGGGCAGCAAAACTGACGTTGTCGTACGAGAAGGTGATCTCAAACCAGCACTCCGCCAACTCAACAATATCACATGTTCATATTCTCACGCTGGCCTGATCAAACGTCTCGTCACTCCAATGCTGCTTCCTCTATGGGCGCTTCTCAACTATGCTAAACGCAGACCCTCGCTTGACAAAGAGTGGACAGCGCTGCCAAAATCAATCATATCACGATATGTAGAAATGGCCTGCGATGCAAAGCAGATTGACAACTTGGCTCGTCACATCTTTTGGGACGGGGACACTACATGGACCTTTGGACCCGGCTCTGAAGGTGGTGTTGAAATACGGCGGCGCACAAAGGGCCAGTCTGAGAACAATACGGCAAGCATGGAGGGAGTTCTTAGGCAAATTGGCGACCTGGACAACCGGGTCAACCTGCTAGTCTCTCTCTTGTCGGAAGCGAGTATCCCCGGAGATGTCGCAAGCTCTGTCTTTCTCAGTACAACGAAGCGGTGGCTTGAACCAGCGAAGCCAGCAGCCAAGTCCCTCACAGACGAAGATTTCATCGGCGATCCTCTCTCAGCATTAGTAGATGCGAAGTTGTCTGAATCTCTAGCCAGGCAGTTTCAAGAGCATTTCGCGAGGAGCCCACAACACATCATTGAGCTCATGGGACAGCTGATTGAGAATTTTGTCGAGGAGCATAAGAAGTCCTTGTCCAACGCAAGCAAGTCACGCATGTCACAACGCGCCATGCTTGGCAACATTGTGCAAAAGCAGGCTACAACAGGGGAGAAAAATGAAGATGATGCTGTAAACGAGGACCTGGTTTCATTTGCCTTGAGTATCTTGAACACAATGGTGGCGTCGCCCGATTTCCAGAAGACGCCTTCAGTCAAGGAAATGTTGCTTGCACTTTTGCCATCATTGGCATATCTGTCGGAATATCGCGATCAAACGCAATCGCCCATACCCTCCATGATTAGCAATTCTTCTACAATCCTTTTCCAGCTCATCGCTCCCACTACTACTAACTCTCCATCCACTAAAGCCAGACTTGCGACAAATGTGCCAGTTGATCCCTTGGCAGAACACCGCGCTGCACTAAGGACCTGCCTCGAGGAACTTCAGTCAGCGGACCCGCCGAACCGTACCTGGGCTCTCAACTCTATACACTCGATGCTTAAGAACCCAGCTGCGTTCACAGTCATCGACATACCATCTCTTACACATATCCTGCTTTCGTCTTCATTGGCCGATCCCGAATCGTACGTCCATCTAGCGGCAATACCTGTTCTCGTCACATTAGCAGCGCGAGTACCGAAGCCTGTTGTAGGGATCCTGGTCGATGCATTCGTGGATGTCGATGAACAATCTTTGAAACTTGCAAGAGGGAAGCAGACAAACGAGAAGGAAAGGGAGCTGAGGAATGCTTTGGACTTGAGACTACGGGTTGGTGAAGTCCTCAATACCTTTGCAGGTGGCAATTCATTATGGGACTCGCATGCGAATGATGGCATGATGTATAAGTGCGCAAAACAAATTACCGAAGCATGCCTATTGTTATCAGGTCGACGAGGGCAACGCGTGCAGACACTTTCGATGCGAAATGAGGTTGCAGACAGTAAGCGAGGGTTGAAGGAGGAAGGCGAGGCAGCCTGGGGTGGTCCGATACCGAATGTTTTTGAGCCTGATGGCGCGGACCCGCAAGAGCAAGCAGAGTACACTGCTCTGCACAAGATTGTTAGTGGGTGGGAAGAAACGGGAATCGAGGAAGATGTTAGAATGCGCGCTTCTGCACTCAGCGTTCTGTCAACTCTGTTGGAGCACCGACTCGAGGTGCTGCGACAGCCGTTGATTGATGCATCGCTGCAGATGGTATTGCTCATACTCGGGATGGAGCAAGAGAATGCAAAGGCTTTGCTGCGGCGTGCTGGTGTTCTTGTTATCATGGGATTACTACGCGGCATTGACGCGGCAATCGAGGCTGGGAAGGAGGATACGGTCGCACTAAACTTGAAGCAACAGCAGGAAGTAGAGCGAGTGATCAAATGGGTGAAGGATGAAGACACAGATGAGCTTGTGCGAGATCATGCATCAAGTGTGGTAGAGGGATTGGAGACGTTGAGAATGAAGCAGCTGTACAGAGTACGAGAAAAGGAATTAAATCTCGATGGAAATCTCGGGCTGGAAGGTAACCTAAGAGGACTTGAGATACAACCGGGAGAAGGCAAGAAGGGAGGACAGAGGATGATGGTAGAGGAGATAGAGTAGCTCCGAAGGGCTTGAATGATGATGGTATTCTAGACGCTCCGTTTTGGAGGCTGTCTGCTGAGTTGGCCAGCTCATGCCTACGTCGAGTAGCGCCGTGGTATCTTTTGTTTGTTTGGTGGCCAGAGCACGCTGGTGGCTCAGTCGTGTAGCCGCATATATCATAAGCTCGCCCGTCCAACGCCAGGATGCTCTCGGGTGAGCGCCCAATTGTGTCGCCATTTCAAGACGTGGCGCGCGTCGTGTCGTCGTTTGTTTGGCAGTCTCAGCCACTCATTGCCGTGTCTTTGCCAGTCTTTGGTTCCACCTCTTCGGCCTTGCCAATCCAGAGCACGTTGTTGCACCGTATAAGCACCTGTCCGAGCGTGCCTGAGCTGACGCCGTTTACGAACTCTTCCGTGTTGGACAACTGGATGTTCATGTACAGGTCGACCGAGACCAGTCTACCCTTGTACTCGGTCTCGCCCCACTTTAACCGAACAACAATGTCCTTGTCGACTCTGTGATGGGTCAGTCGGAGTCTCGCGTAGGTCGCAGTGAAGGTGGGCTTCTTGGAGAAGACGCGACGTACAAGCTCTGGAGGAGAGGTCGGGGGTTGAAAGGTGCGACTGCCTGTAAGTCGTTAGCCATGCGCAAGAGTGTAGCAGAATCAGGAACCGCATACCGCCATATCTGCGACTCGGGAGGAAGCCTTTTTGGCGCGGGGAAAGGCGGGAAGGTAGGGGAATGCGACGCCGAGGTCGATTGGTGGTGAGGTGTTGGGTGAGAGGGTATGCAGTAATGGTCGCGCTCTGCAGCTTTGGAAAGTTGTCGGCAAAAGGTAATGCCGATTGGCTGGTTGGTGGGTCTCTCACCGCGGGGAAGGCATGGAACGGGCTTGGGGCCAGGACTATGTACTCTTATGTATTTATCTAGTACATAGTGCGAGGACATACATAGGAGCCTCTCAGTATGCACGAATAGAGCGGTACCTGGATCTTGAAGCTGTTACATCATATGCATTGATTTTCGTAGACACAACCATGATCCGTCTTGTCTGGTCCGGTCCTGCGTGTTTCCTTGCCGCGTCCAGCTCAGACTCCAGAGCCGCAAACTAGCAGCGGGTGCGCTAAGATTTTATCGTCATATTCCCATCGTCCCACTGCTTTCTACTACTCAGCCAACCCGCCATTGCACCTTCGACCGACTATCACGCCTGCTCTCTTACGCCTTATTCATATCCCCTAGGCATCTGCCACCAATTGCACCATTGCGCCTACCACCGTGCGTCGTCTCGCCCTCCTACCCGCGACCTGCTCTCTCGTCGCCCCTCCACTCTTCGCACAGCATGCTCCGGTAGCAATGCTAGCAATTTGGTCCCGGGCAACAGTAAACCCGGGATCCTGCAGGTGCATGTCATGCGCCTCCAACACAGTCGTCCGCGCACGCACAAACAGTCCAGCGCCCTTTCGTCGCTCGTGGTCTACACCCGGAACACCCACATCAACTTTCCTATACACAGCCATTTTTGCCGCAGGGCTGACTGTTGATGCAAAGGCCAAAGCGGCCAGGAACACGCAATGGGAGCAGGTATTCGACAAACTGAACGAGCCCATCGATGCTCAGAGTCCAGTCGACAGAGACACGAAGCCAAACGTGACGAGTGCTCACCCCTACGAGCATTCTGAAATCTGTGGCCTGTCATTTGACGACCTCCCTCAAGATCTTGACTGGGCTGCTGTGCAGAGGACCATAGGCATGGACCTTGTTGAAGATCAAGTCTTGCAGACGCAAGAGGTTGAGTCACAGATTCGCGATTATGCAGACATGGCATGGGATGACTTACGCTTTGATTCGAGATTCCCCGGCGCCCAGCTGCTCGAATGGCCGGCAAATACAGGCCCGGATCTCGTGCGCTACAACCTTCCGCCTCAGTCACTATGGGCACCAGATGCCTTGCGTCTGAACGCCATGCGGAGACGGCATACTCGGAAGAAGCTGGCCATACAGGAGCTTTCCATTGCAGTTCTTATCCATGAATTGCTACACCAAGCTAGTGTTTTCCGCTTTTTGAACACTGCGAGTGACGAATTGAACAAGCTGGCACCACAGATCCTAAAAGTTGTTAGCATGACCGAAGTCGAACGCAAAGAAGCACGTTTAGAGATTTTAGATGCACTTGAGAAACTCTACAAGACTCGTGTAGACAGTCCTGCCGAAGACTTTGCAACTGCCCGCATCCGGGTCAATCCCCTAGCAATTCCGAGCTATCACCAGGACGCCGATGGCGACTTTTATGGCATTACAAAGCAGTTGAATGATGGTCTCAAAACCTTGCTTCGCGAAACACCCCGCGGCAACGATCGGAAGGCGGCCCTCGCTGTCGCAAGAATATGCCACAATCTCCTCATTTCCTCCGCTTCTCCGGATCTGCAGACATTCAATACCCTGCTGGTAGGCTTTAGACGCTGGCGTCGCAGGGAGCTAGTTGAGCGCGTCATACCTGCACTTTACGCCAACAAGATACGACCTAATGAGATCACCTGTCGCGAGATTCTGGATCATTACACGCTAGGAGGACACTCAGCAGCTGCCAGCTTCTCACGCTTTGTAGCCAAGATGAGGGGCTTGGAAGATGCCCTCATGCTTGCAAATCCAGATGTCAGCATTAATGAGGCCAGCCAAGATCGCCTCATCCGCGTCAGCCCAGAAAAGGTTCTTCAAAAGGTTCATCCAACGCCCATGGTGTTTGGTGCGCTCATAGGTGGTGTCATCAAGTTTGCTGGTTTTGATCGAGCTCTAGACATCTATTACGAGATGAAGGCAGATGGCTGGGGTCTTGACGTGCGAGGACTAACCAGATTGTTGGGCGATTGTGTACGCCGAGCTGATTGGGAAGGTGGCTTATACGTGTGGGAAGAGATCAACGGTATCAAGACACGCGTGAAGCATCACGATATGGCGAAAGCGTACAGTCACATGCTCAGCTTGTGTTCCATCACTGGCAACACCGTTGCCTTCAATCAGATCTTGAACGATCTAGCCAGGGGAGGGTTTGATCGCAAGCTCATCATTGATGCGGCTACACGAACGACGAGCTTAGCAAAGCGCAAGAACGAATATTTGGCTCCGGCTTGGGTTGCCGATAATGTCATGATTGCTGTGTCGCAATATGTCCAGGACGCCAAACCCTCTGGGCCAGAGGTCGCGCCAGATGTGATCGATACTGATGACGCAGCGCTCTCACAAGACGAGTTCGATACTTTCGGAGATATTGAGCATAATACGGCCGATACCAAAGAAGCATGGGCATCTTGGGTCGAACATGAGTTCGGCGTGAGGCCAAAAGAGCCAGAGCCATGAGATCTCTATGGCTCTCTGTACATTACATATGTTTATACCACTGTGCATATCAGAGCATTGGGCCGGCGTTTTACGGTGACTCTGAGTATGTACGCGACAATGTGAACTATGGTTTTTTTTCTCTTCGAAAAGTCGTCCATATCCCTATCACTGCAATAACCTATTGCTGCTTGCACAGTCTCAATCAGCGAATACATTCCCACATCTGCTCGCCATGCGAGCAATGTTGATCCCTTAACTTACACCTAATAACGGTGGAAAGCCGAATAAACGTTTGCGGATACCATCCCGCAGATGTCACCCGATTGCTATCTTGCCGAGGACATGCTTGTCCCTGATTGTCTATTTAGATTACCCACGCTGCACCACAATTTACAGTCCCACTTCCACAACTTCATCACCGAGGTCAGGAACACTTAGTGAGCATGGTCAAGGCTTTGCATCAGCAAGAAATAACTTGGGACTGCTATCGTTGTTTCTATTGGATCGACGTCCTCTGCCGCTGTTGCCACAATGTCGCCCAAAACGCATGGCTGACACTCAAGCACCAAGCTTTCCAAAACCCCTTGGCACATCGTATCCGAAATCGACGACCTGACGTTCAGCCGAAGCTATCGAAAGTCTTGCGTCAAGTTACGTCTCTCTTGCAACATTGGCGTCGACCACGCACAAATGGGCTCAGATGCTCGCTTAACTGGATCGCGCAGATTCAATCTAATCACCTGCATCTGCAGCCAAGGACAGCTGAACATGTACTACAAGGAGACTGTATCAGTCACACTGATAGTGAACTGGGATTACTGGTCTTGGCCAGTGCGCACCACTCTCATAGCCGTTATACAGCCAAGTATTCCTTTCCCCGGATTTTCTTGCTGTCTTTGGATCTAGACCTCTCGGTGTTTCCCTGCATATCACCACGCATCCTGCTGAGCAGGAGCGCATTCACCCCGTGGAGTCCATATGCATTTGCGCAATCTGGGTCTAGAATTCAGAATGCATCAATATTCTTTTTGCTTCCAGAACGGCTCGGCATCAGGATCTAGTTTGCACCCAAGACATTTTCAAATCTAAAGATCAGCCACCTTTGGATGTCAAGGGACACGACAGATGGCGTGTGTACCAAGACGATTCTGCTTCGCAGCCGGAGGAGCGACACCTCTCCGCACTGTGCCGATAATAGATGAAGAGGGAACATTCTGCGCTATCGTTCGCGCCGGAGAACGGTTGGCACTAGCAGTATTGAATGCGAGCCGTTTGACGCTGAACGCACAGGTTGGGACACGGATTGGCTACAGCGAAGCTGAAGGTTGGAGGTTAGCGCAGTGAAACGGCTGTGTAGCGCCAGAAGGAATACCACCTTGAAGATACATCGGGTTGCGAAATCACTGCACGACGTGTCACTTGGATTCGACGCTGCTGCATCCATCCCTACCGCATGCACGTTTAGGGGGTTTAGTTATTCGAGGGTACCTTGCGAGCCATGCAGAAGGAATGTAGTACAGCGATACCAGATGGTCCGATATTGCAGGAAGATTGTCGTGGACAGGCAAGAGTCAAGAAGAATATGTACGCTGTCGTCCTCGAAAGCTCGTTTGCTTATAATAGTTATACTCCAGGTACAAGCCGGGGCCTATCAACGTCAAACCTTTGGTGTAGGAGGAAGAGCGAACAATTTCATTCGGAACATCGGATCTCACATCATGCGGCAGCAAAGTTTGGCGCCCAATATGTGTGGCTGTCAAACTCTGGCTGAACAGGTCCCGTGTCTCTCTGTCGCGCTAATCCGAACCTGGAAGGATAGAGTACTTTACCCAAATTGCAAGCATCTCGTATCTATGGCCTCGAACACAGCAGTCACCTCACCTGCCCCACCCGGTCAAGTACTACACGCTGCGCTATAACGAGGGATGGGCAAAGTTTGGTTCAGACCATGTGCATAAATTGCGTCCGATGTTTCTGCTGCAATCACTCGCCACTCACGAGAGTCAATCTGATATATTTATATAAAACCAGTCCCAGCCACAGACAAACCCCTCCTTTTTTTTCCCTTTGCAATCAGACAGTGAAAATAATTCGATCTTCGATTTCCCTCTTTGTTTGAATCATCAACCCAACAAGAAAGACGACAGTCAAGCGAAAAGAAAGACAGAAAGAAGGAAAGTGAAAAGATGCAGTACCGACTAGTCTCTATGCTCGCCGCAGGCATATTGGTGGCCATGAGCAGCGCCGCGCCTGTCCCATCAGCCGACGTACGTACTCATCCAGGCGAAGCAAGCCTTCTGCTTCCCCCTTTCACAGTTACTAACCCAAGCCCAGAACCTATCCATCACCAACCCCCCAAACACGATTGAGCTCGGCAAGCCCTCATCAGAAATCTCCTGGGGCAGGAGCGTCGCCACTGAAGTCACCAACCCAGACATCGTCGACATTTCGCCTCCCACGTCCGAAATCATCTGGAGCAAGGACAAGAAAGCCCGTACCGACGAGCCGCCCGTCAACCCCGACGACATCGTGCTCACGCCCCCCAACTCGGAAATCATCTGGAGCAAGGCCCGCAGCGTCGAGTTTGAAAAGCCAAAGGATAGCTTCAACTTGGGTAACGCCAACACGGTCGTTACCTGGGGCAAGCGCGAGTCCACAACCACTGTTGGTACGCCCGAGGATACGATTGAGCTGGGTAAGCCTAGTACGGAGATCACGTGGAGCAAGGAGAAGCGTGATGAGCTTGTTACACCGGATGATAGCATCAGTCTTGGTAAGCCATCGACGGTTGTGACGTGGTCTTAAGCTCGAGAGGGAGTAAAAAGGTTGGTTGTTAAAGGAGGAAAGATGTTCTCGGGGCTCATTGGCAGTTGTGTATATGTTTTCTCTTCGGTGGATGAGGTAGGTCTTTTTTTTTGTGACTAGACGAGAATGTAGTTTCATAGGATATACAATTTTTTTATTCTTTTCTACTTCCTGAATGATAAAAGAGTTTATGAGTCAATCAAGTGCACAGTCATGATGTTTTCTTTAACGCAATTATGGGATGGCGCTTCGGTGTCTTGGTGATAAGACTGCGCAACCCTTTCCTTGATTTTCCAAAGTGGAAGAGACACAACATCACGTAACCATTTGTCTTTTCGTTTCTGGGTATGTTTATACAATGCCTTTTTCCCAGCCACATAAGCATATCATTAATTTGAAGAACATCTCTTCTACCTTTTGACAAATACAAACACCAACGACCAATTTCTACACAGAAGATGAAGTCATCAAAACGATCCCTCAGCCCAAGAGTAATTAGCCCTGGCGATACCAGTTCTCCTCGGGATCCTGCATACACTCGCCCATGGTGACTGCGCGAAGGCCCTTGCTGTAGAGGTAATCTAGCATGTAGCCCGTAAGGGTATCAGCAGTGAGCTGGTGAATATCATGTGCAATAGCCAGCCTGTTGTCGCTGCGCGTGTCGAGAGCTTGCTTGAAGTTGTTCTTTGAAGTCTCCATCTTCGCAGGGGTAAGGTTGTTGTAGTCTATTTTGTTGTGTTAGAAATACTGTTATGTTGATAAGAGAGTTTGAAGAAAACTTACCATCAGTGTCGAGATCGAAATAAGAAATGACATAGCCCAGCTCAGCCATGATTTCCTGGCACTGTCCATTGCACGACGAATAGGGCGGACGCATGTAGGTCGGGAAGCGGCCAATGATGTTGCGAATGGCCATTTCGTTCTTGACCATCTGGTCATAGACCTGTTCCCTGCTAATGATGGAGAGATCCTGGTGGCTCCATGTGTGCGACGCTACTTGGTGTCCATTGTTGTACATCTTCTGCACAACGCCAGCCCATTGTTGGTCAATGGCGCCCTTGCCAAGATTGTTGCCGGTAACGAAGAAAGTAGCATGGCCTCCTCTTGCCTCAAACTGCTGCATGATGGACTCGGTGTAGGAGAAAGGTCCATCGTCGTATGTGATGGCTACTGTGCCGGGGTTTTTGCAGGCGTAGATGCCTGCACCACCATAAGGAATGCTGCCAAGTTTGGGCCGGGGGACATTGCGTGTGCTCGCGCCGGATGGGGTCTTGTTGGCGTCGCATCCAGGGCCGTAGTTGAACAAGCAGTCGGGTGCTTTGCAGTGATCTTTTGTAGTGCCGCAGTAACCGGCTGCTGAGCAGCAATCGTTTCCAGCACATTTTTGATTGCCGTTTGCCGGACCACAGCGTTCGACTTCCTGCCTCGTGTCAAGAGCAGGCGCAGAATGAGCAGCGTAGAGAGTTTGGAGGCGAGCGAGAGGGTTTCTAGCGCGTAGCTCTTTCGGCATGCCAAACGTCTTGGGCATGCCTTCCATGCCTGTTCCATGGGCAGCGACAAACTGTCCGGCCAATGAGGCAGCAACGACGTGTGAGAAACGCATTCTGTTAGACCAGGGGTTTCAAATGCAATATTGCTTTTAGCTGGATACGACAAAAAAGTAAAAGAAAGTAGAATTGCAGATTAATTATTGCTCAGGGTGGGGTCTAGAAGAGTAGCGATCTGACTGCGTGAAGAAAGGAGGGAGGAGGACAGGGGGGTTGTCTTAAGTAGAAGGGAAAAGGATATGTGATGTGCATGAACGCTGATGGTAGTGGCGCTGCTTGAGGGGCGGAATTCAGGGCACCCGTAAGCAGTGGAGTAGGTACTGTTGAGGATCAAGACATCTCGCCCTAGCCAGACATTGGTCCATGGATGATGATGGGTTGCATATGCTCATTCAACAATCGTATGGCGGTTTGTATCTTTTTTTTTCGAGTCAAACTCTCGATAGTGTGTATAGTACGAATTGGTATAACGGGACGAGAGGTGCTCATGGTACATGTGCTTGGAGTGAAACTGTTGTCAGCAGCCAAGACGACTAGTCTTGGTGGTGATGTGTCGTCATGATGGATCGACTACTCTACCAGATGCCGACAAGTGTGTATGCACGTTGACGATCAAATTGGCGCTGTAAGCTCTCGTTGTATGGCAGCCAACCAAGTTACTGTATACTTGTTGACTGGTTATAGGAGTACTGTAAGAGTTTTTTTTAGAACAAAAAGAAGGTACTAGTAGGATATATAGTTGAAGCAGTATCCTAAGCAAGAAGTTGAGAGACGAAATATGTGGTACGGGAGTAAATAGTATGAGAATTGGGCAGTTGAACCATGGTGCCCGTACAGTAGACATGTCTGTAGGTGTGGTACCTATGTATGTACTCAAATATGTAAGTACTGACCGCGACAAGGCCATGGAGCGTGGGCGGCAAGGCAGGACTGGACAGAGGTCCAAACAGAGGTCCAAACAGTGATGAGCTAGTGGATGGCATGCATCCGTCTGACTGCCTGTGCGTCGCGTTGGACGTGCAGAAGAAACGTCATTGGGCGGGCGCACCCCAGACGGCGCCAATGCACCGAAATGTAGTCGTGGATAGATTTGCGTGTGTATGACTAGATATAGATCTTTGGCCCGCACCGTGTCAGACGTTTGTTTGCCATGTCATTCGACTCCACCACGACCGGCCAAAGACGCTGGCTGAATTGCTGGCTTGGTGGGCAGCAGCTTGGCGGGTGCTTGGAAGCAATATTGGCCTAGGGGCTCCGGATGCTATTTCGGGCGAGGAACTCGCATTGGCGTGTGCCAGAGGCCGAGTGGAGCACAGGGGGGTGCGGGACTGTGGCTGGTGAGTTTCCCAAAAGGATCCTGTCCTATAACCTTTTGTTTTAGCACGACTCGACAAACTCACTCGGACTGAATTGTTGTTGTGATTGAACTTACATATACGAGTCTTGCCAACAAGACTACGCCTCTTGGACTTAGCGACAGCTCACAAGCCATGGCCAAGCCCGACGAGCGGACTGGCGCGGAAGAGAAACACATGGCCATTCGAATAAACGACGCCAACCAGCGGTACACTGAAACGCGCGCGTGGTTTACTTTAATAAAGCGCGTTCTAAGCTTGTAGGCGTTGCCAGAAACAGGCTAAGCACAACCGGCGAGGGGCGCGTGTGCATCCGTATCCGTTGCACCCCTCGTCCCAAACCACACGCCTCGAACAATCCATGCCGGCTGCCGGCCCAGGGCGGCGGGCAACAGAAGATGAATGCAGTGGAAAAGAGGATTGTCTTGTGTTTGCCCTCCTCTTTCATTGACCTCTCTGGCCTGTTTCTTCATCTTCACTGTCATCGTCGTCGTCTCGTCGTCGTCGTCGTCATCGTCATGTCGTCGAAGCATGTGATGGTGGTGGGAATGGTGGTTTGGTAGCTGCGCCTCATGGCGTGGTGATTTGAGGGGAAGGCCAGGCACACACAATCACACGCACACACACAAAAACACAGTGTAGCCCCGTCCAGCCTGGCGGGTGGCGCTTGCGAGGCTCCACTGCTCCTTCCTACCTTGCCCGTTTGAATCAATACTCCGTATAATATACTAGCACCTCAATCCACACTCATCGTGCCTCTTTGTTCGTGGGCCCTTTTCTCTGCGTCCTCGTCGTCGCCGTCAAGTATTCTTCTGTACAACACCGCAGCTATTCGATCAACCCATTTATCTTCCTCGATTTTTCTCTTCCCGGTGTATTCCTTACTAACAGTCATTCACTCTTGTACTACCTCTACCCTAATTACCTAGTCCGTTGTCCATCAACCACCTGACTGTTCTTCTTCTCCATACACTGTACTTGTACTTCTTCTTCATCTACGCCTCTACGGAAATCAAAGCATCTTGTTCACTCTCCCAACATGTCTCGTTTCCCATCCCTTGGAGCCCTGCTCCTTCCTCTAACCGCTCTGCTCGTCTCGCCCACTCACGCCACCAGCCCCTACACCAGCAGCATGAGCGAAACGCCAAAAGACAACAATGCAGACTGTGACTGCTACATGGTTTCGTCCGGGGCAGAGGCCAAGAATCCATCCTATTTTCAATACTACCGTTTCTACGACTTTCGCAACCTACCCGGCGCCCTCGACCAATCACCACCAACGATCAACCAGTCGCAAAACGCTGCACAACTACCAACATGGCAGCCCGACTTGTTCAACAGCGATGCCTGGAACTTCGACTGGGGCATCCAAAACTGGAGCAAAGATGCTACCTCTGACTTCCCTGTACCACTGACCAACTCGCCCGCAAACATCTATCTCGGATCCGAGCAAGACACATCGTACCTGGCGATGCGTACAACGCGCGCGTCGTCACACCAAACAGCAGCGGAGATGGAGAACCAGCAAAAGAACCTGATGCACGCTTCTCTGCGCATGTACGGGCGCGTGCAGGGCTCCTCAGGCGCAGTCGCAGGCTTCTTCACCTTCTTCGACGACAACAACGAGTCCGACATTGAGATCTTAACCCAAGACCCCAAGGACAAGATCCGCTACACCAACCAGCCATCCGTGGACAAAGCAGGCAACGAGATTGCCGCCGCGTCGCTGGACCCAGCCAACCTGCCCCGATGGGACGACTGGCACACGCATCGCATCGACTGGCTCCCCAAGCAGAGCTACTGGTTCCTCAACGGCGACCAGGTGGCCCAGAATACCTACTCTGTGCCTCGCAAGCCCAGCTACCTCGTCCTCAACATGTGGAGCGACGGCGGGGAGTGGAGCGGCAACATGAGCGTCGGCGATAGTGCAGAGTTTCACATCCAGTGGATCGACATGGCCTTCAACACCAGTGGACCGTACGAGGGTGAGCAACAGCAGGACGACAAAAAGAGAAATGTAAAGAGGAAGGAAAAGAGCTGCAAGACGGTGTGCAGGATTGATGGCGTCAAACAGGTTGGCACCCCAGAGGTCGCCTATGTTGGTAGTGCAGTCGTCTCCACTGTGTCGTGGAGTCTAATGGTCGGAGTCGTGGGTGCTGTGTCTGTTTTCATTAGCATGTAAAAAATACAACAAGAAGAAGGAAAAAGGCCACTACGGTCATCTAAGACCAACTCTTTGAAATGCATCAAATTCATACACCCTTCTATCACTTGACTCATCCAGAAAACAAAAACAATGCATGCGTATCCTTGCAAACTACCTGTTCAAAATAAAACCACAATCATCCACGCCAAATATCGTACACTACACTCCATGCACAGCATCACTCAACGTGAGCCATGTCTTCAGTTTTCTCTCAACCAGCCTCCGGGGTATTCAACGGCTTCTCCTCGTCCATTCGTCGCGGCGAAAAAAAAGGGAAAGGGTGGCAACAATGCCAGCGGATATAGGTATATATACATTGACATGCTCTCTCATGTCAATCCCCCCTCATTCCTCCGCCCAAGTGTCATTTCTCGTCGTCATCATCGTCCTCGTCTCTCTCGTTTTCATATGCGATGCACTAGTCCTTTTCTTCTACAGAAAACCCCTCGTCCCCCCCCTTTTTTTTCTCTTACAAGAAATATTCGCCCCGGCCTCCACGGCCTGCCGGTACGGCTCGCTTGTGATCGGGAACGGCCGAGAATATTTGGAACTCGGGCTTGAGGTCTTCGCCAAGGTTCATAATGGAGGCAACATTGCCGCAGCGGTAACAGTAGTTTGGCGCCGACCACACCGTTACGACATCCTTGTCCTTGAAGTGGTATTTGTAGCCTTCGTTGACTAGCTGATGAGCTCGCGCAATGAGCTGCAGGCCGTTGACATGGTTGAACTGGGCAAAAATTAGCCTGTGTACGATTTCAACAAAGTCACGTGTCCACGATACCTCTGAAGAGACCTTGTCTCCAAATAGCCAACCCGCACCTCGAGGCGACACTGCCCATGTGTCCACCTCTTCAGGATCACTCCAGACAAGATCGCAAAAGGCACCCTCGTGGGGGATTTCTTGGGCGCGGGCGACAACACGGATCTGGTCCAGTGTTCGAATCTCTGGGCTCAGTCCGCCATGAACGCAGAGGACTTTGCCGTCAACAATGGCAGCGAGGGCCAGGAAGTCGAAGACCTGACAGCAAGCTTTCCATACCGAGGCATTGCCATACTTGGTCTGACACTCTTCATAGAAGCCGTAGACTTGAGTGATTTGCCTGGATTCGTGGTTTCCGCGTACTAGCGTCACGCGATCTGGGAATCTGGGGCGGGGAGGTCAGCATGGCCATGCGTCATAGTTTCTTGTTGGGCGGGCTTACTTTGCCTTGAGGCACATGAGAAGGGTAAAGGTCTCGAGGCTAAAGTAGCCACGGTCAACAAAGTCGCCGAGAAAGATGAAGTTTTGCTGGCCGTTTCCGCCAACGGTGTTCTTGCTCGAGTCGGCGTCCGAGGCGGAGCCAAAGCTGCGGCGGTCGTTGACACTCCGGCTGCGGCCGCGCTCTTCCTCGTCGTCGTCATCGGCATCCTCGTCGCCGTCGCCGCCGGGGGGACTGGCGGGGCCCGTGTAGTTTGGGTCGCGCTGGAACCTGCGCTTCATCTTGCGCTTTACTTTTGGGTCTGTGATGCTAGTGGGGGGCTCGAGGTCGGCCGGGTTGATTGTGCTGGGGATGGTGACTGGCTGGGTGAGGGGCGCTGTGGGCGTGTCGCTGGGCATGCCGCCGGCGACGCGGAAGAGCTCGAGAAGGTCGTAGAATTGGCCGTGGATATCACCACATACCGTGACGGGGGTGCGGACGGGCTGAATGTTTGACTCTGGGAAGGGGCGGCGTGTTAATGGTATGGAGGACGAGGCGCGGCCGCGGCGTATTCACCTTCCATCAGGCACTCCTTGACAATCTCGCAGAGGCGCTTCATGTCGGCCTCGGGCAGGTACTTGCATTGCTTGGCCTGCTCGAGCCATTCATCGGGGCCCGCGCCCTTTGCCAGGCGGGCAGGGCCTGGCTGTGGGACGTCGTGATCTTTGCCCATGGCGGGGTAGCGAGAGAGGGAATGTGTATGTATGTGTGTATATATATGGGGGCTGTAGATGTGTGCGGCGGGTGGGTAGGTGAGAGAGCGCTGGTGTGGGTATATGGATAGAGGAGGTGTGGGCGTGTGGGCGTGTGGGTGAATGTACTACGTAGGGCAGGACAGGGCAGGACAGGGCAGAGGTTCGGGCTCGGGGGCTCGGGGCATGCGTGCGTGGGGCTGATGGGATGGGGGAGCGGGCGGCTCTGCCCTCCAAGCCTGGCGCCGCCGCTGCCTCAACATCGACTCGACTCGACTGCAGCAGCCGCGCAGTGCTACGGCCCACGACGACTACCCATACCGCATCCCTACCACGCGTACATACAACAAGAAAGCTGCCACTGCTACTGCCATTCACTGCCACCGTCCTTCTTGCCTATTCGACACCCAATGTCCGCTCGCACCACCCGCCCCTCTCCCCTCCTCCACCACCACCACCACTACCACGACCGCCATCACCACCTCGCTCCCCCACTGCCACAACCACCACACTCGCCATAAGCACCCTCAATCTCTGTGATCCTTCCGGCTCCTCAGGCAGTCCCAAGCACTGCCATGGCCCCTCCTCCACCCCCCAGCGCCGGCGTCCTGCCCGTCGCCCTGCTTCAAAAATCACAAACAGCCCACACGCCCCGCGGCCAGAAGCCCCCGCAGCCTCGCCTCAAGCTCATCTGTCGTCGCCTGCCTCCGGGTCTGACCAAACAAGAGTTTATCAATGTCCTGGGCGACGACTGGAAATTGGGCGTCGGCAAGATTGACTGGCTCAGCTACCGCAAAGGCAAAATCTCCACCGACGCCGCAAAGCCCTCGAAGCCCGCCCGCGCCTACCTGCACGTCACCAAGCCCGACCACGTAAAGGCCCTCGGCGATCATGTTCGTGCTCTTTCCTTCCACGATGCTGCAAAGTCGTGGCAGGACCCCGTCCTCGTCGGCCCCCCTACGCTTGAGTATGCTCCCTACCCCAAGATGCCTGGTGGCCGCCGTCGCAACGACAACCGCCAGGGCACCATCGACCAGGACCAGGAGTTCAAGGACTTTCTCGAGAGCCTCACCAACCCCATCACCAAACCCCCTGCCCCAGAAAGCGAAGCCCCCAAGGACAAGGTCAAAACGACGCCTCTGATCGAGGCACTCCGTGAGAAAAAGGCAAACAGGGACAAGCCAAATGCAAAGCCTAACCGACAGGCTCGTGCAGAGGCCAAGGAGGATGCCGCAGAGCGCGCCGAAAAGAAGATCTTGACAAAGTCGACAAAGGAGAATGCCCCTACCGCCCCCGACAAGACCCGCCGTTCAAACAAGGCCGACAAGGCCCAAGCCACCAAGGATGCCGTCAAGATACTCAACAAGGAAGCTGCCTCTTCGAAGACATCTGCTGCTGCCACCCCGGCCGACAAGGCCTCCGCAAGTCCAGCCCCAGAGCGTAAGCGCGGAAACGTCGCACTTGCAAAGTCGATGCTCCAGCGCGACCTTGGAGTATCACCCGCCCCCAACCGTCGTCGTGGCACCAAGCGTGAGGTTACGTCCGCCACACCCGATGCTGCTCCCCCAGCCAAGGAAACAAAGCCATCTGACGACAAAGCTAAGGACACTGCCGCTACCCCTCCAGCCGTATCCGCTACCCCAGACAAGTCTGCCCACCCAAACAGAAAGGAACGCCCAACCCGTGCCGAACGACGTGCGTTCAAGGCGAACCAGGGCGACAAGGCTAATGATAAGGCTTCGACTACCGAAGTCAAGTCACAGACACCAGCAAAAACGCCCGCTCCTCAGATTCTCAAGAAGCCCCAGCCCACTCAGGCACAAACAACACCAAAAGGCCCAGCCGCCTCACGAGCCCCACCATCAGAGCCTGTTGCCGCTAGAAACAGCCCTGCTTCAGCGCAGCCGCAGGCTCCTCCTGCAAAAGCAGACAGTACTCCGACCCCTGCGGCCAACAACACCTCAAAAGCTGCCCCGGCACAGTCTGTCCCCGCGCCTACCAGCAAACAAGCCTTTCTCAAGCATGCCAACCCCAGCCAGGGCATCACCGAGCCACTCATCGAAGAAGCCATGAAGCTCTTTGGTGCCATTGAAAAGGTCGAAATCGACAAGCGCAAGGGCTTCGCCTACGTCGACTTTACTGAGCCTCAAGGTCTTCAAAAGGCCATGGCTGCGAGTCCAATCAAGATTGCCCAGGGCGCTGTCCAGGTACTCGAGCGAAAGGAAAAAGTGGCCAGGAATCCTCGCTTCAATGGCCCCACTCCACCAGGCCCTGCTCGTGGCGGAGGTCGCACCAACTTTGCTCCCCGTGGAGGACGGGGTGGCCGTGGGGCCGCAAGAGGTGGAGGTCAGGTCAACGCCAATCCCGCTCCAAGTGCTGGCGATTCTGCTCCTACCGTTGCTCCACCTGGCCCTGCCCCCGTTGCAACATGAAGAGAGGATTGTGGTTTCTCCTGTGTTGGAAGCAAACAAGGACACTGGATGTCGCACAAAGACCATGGAGAATGTAACTTGATCAACGTTCATGGTTGCAGAGACTCACAATCTTGTTACAACAGAAGAGTACCGCATCAGTCTTCAATCGTCTAGAATAGCCGCCCGTCATCGATACCAGCCACGTCAATGTATCTGACTTAGCCAAGTGCATCACTATGTAGTCGCACACAACACACATTATCGTGCAACAAATGTGTATAAGCTGAACATGGATTTCTACCAGTAATCATGGGACCTCGATAAGACAAGTGAAGGTGGCGTCTAGAGAAGCGATTACTATAGATATGATTGACGAGACCTTCTATCCGCTTGTATCTCTCAAAGGGAACTCAGAGTAATCACATCAAGCTATATACAGTCTTATCCATCCTCTGACTTAATGCTCCTTTTCTATGAACTTCTTGGTCAACTTTTCCATCATCTGTGCATGAGCCACCTGTCTGGCACGGGGAACCCTGGACTTGGGGACAAGATGAGAGCAGTCCTGGAGAGTCTGTACGTTGTTGCCAATGACTGCGAACCGGTTCCATGCACTTGTAAAAGCATTGGCCCATAGCGCGGTCGACTTTGCGAAGACGGCCCATGATCTATAAGTCTATGATTCAACACTAGTCAGTTTCTTATCATTATATCAAACGTCTTGAAAGCATGTAGAATACGCACCTCGGCCGCGCTGGACATGAGACGATCGCTCCGAAGAGAATAAGGCGCAGTTCCGGCCTTTGTCTCTGCGTAATACCTAATGTCGCAAACAGCTGGCGTCGAGTCGAGTGATGCACCAGCTCTCGAGGGATCATCTTGGAACTGAATCGCTATGCTGTGTGTTCCAAGTAGCGCAACCACGTCTTGAGGGGAGAATCCCTTGGCCGCGAACATGCTCAGAATCTTTTGGACAGTATCCGAGCTCCTGGGTAGGCCGTTTCGTGGTGCAGCTTGTGGGCTGTCTTTTCTGCCCACAAGCGCCTGAACCTGGGGGCCGAGCGGGCATGCTGAAAGTGCCATTGCACCAGCAAATTGCACCATGTCAGCAGCACCAACACGGTACTGAATACGCTTCTGGTTGAGTGTCGTGCAAAGCGCTTGCAGTCCAAGGTTCTCGACTCGTGAGCATTCTTCCTGGGAAAGAATCAAGCTGCCGTTGCAACCATCAGGCAAGCAGTCGTGGAGCACAGCGCGAACGGCTGAGCGAGCTGCTTTGTTGCAACCTCGGAAGAGATTCGTGAGATCGGCAGCGATAGTCTGCCAAACAGCAGGGCAGGTGCCTGCACGAGGCGAGATGTCCACGGCGGAGATGGGCGTCACCGCAAGGGCGAAGAGGGTGATAGCGGAAGGACGCATTTTAACCAAAAATTAGAATCTTTTGAATAATGTGTGAGGAAATCTCGGGTCGTTTGGACTGATATGTAGGAATAAAGGAATGTGAAGCAGAGAGAGCTTGAGAGAGTGAATAGAGATAGATATCTACAAAGATGTTGCGAATTGCTGTGATTCTTCCTTCATTTTTCGCGATTGAAGCTCGATACTTGTAGTCACCTACACGCCCTCCGGCCTTCAGTCCTCCGAACCGAAAGGTCAAAAAGGTTAAATACGAAGAACAAGCCCGAATAGGTTCAGGTCTGGTCGAGAGGAACAGAAGCCGCTACATCGCTACGGATTCATTTCCACGATGATGATGATGATTAACTTTTCCTTCTTCATTTTGCTTCCTCATCACAAAAGAGTCTTACGCTTACCCGTCTCACTATGAACCACATGTAGAAAAGGCCCCACCATGCTACTTACCCTTTGATCTAAGTATGCCATCTAGTCATCAAGTGTAATTAAACCAACGCCTTCGCACCACTTACAAAAGGACCGTCGCTAATTGGATCCTGCCAGACGTTGGAACCTCTGACGAACTGTCCAGGTTGCATGTGTCGCAAGGGGCGGGAGAGCTTACATGATATTAATAGCACCGGCGGTGGGATTTACTAATTTTGCGAATTTCTGCGCAAAGAGGCGCCTTAGGCATGACGTGAGATGGTCCATGTTACATGCGGGACGGAGGCAGCCGTGCCGCCATATTGTAGTAAAACTAACTTGCAGTCGAGAGAGAGTGAGGCAAAGAGACATGTTCCATTATCTCTCTCTCCTATTGCTTGACGCCTTTTTGTTTTTTACTCGGCCATCTCATGTATTAAATGATCAAGACTAAAAAAAACCCTGTGATGCGAAAATAACACTTTTTCACTCTTGACTATATTCCCATCTCCCTTGTCCATGCACCCACCCACCCCCACACACTATGGAGACAACAAAACACAAACCTCCAGTCCAGCACAACACCCAAATTCACTTCGCACGCGACCTCTTCCCTCTCCCCTCTCCTCAGCCTATCATACCGCGCCCACCCGCAGTCTCACCGGACCGAATCCCATCCTAATTTACACCCACCAACCCACTCTACACCTGCAAATTTCCACTCTCCCAAAAGCTAAACCCCATCT